GGGGGAGGTCCTGGTTCGGGTTGGGGTGGGGGCGGGGGGGGGGGGGGTCGCGCGGGGGGATAGCGCGGGGGGAAGTCGGGTGGGGGGGGGGAAAATGCGCGGGGGGGGGGGGGGAAGATCGAAAGTCGGGGAGGGGAGGTTGCGTGGGAGCGGGATCAGAGTCGCGACCAAGAAGAAGAAGAAGGAGAAGAGGAAGAACATAATAATAATAATAAGAAGAAGAAGAAGAAAAGAGTAAAAAATAATCATAATAATAATAAAAATAAATAAAAAGGAAAATTGTCGTCGATTACTTATCTGCGCGGAGGTAGCAACGACGATGACGAGGATGGCACGGCGCGGCGACGAGGATGACGGGCACGGCGATGGAAACGGAGCACGACAACGACGATCGCGATGGTGACGATGATGACGTGGCACGACGACAACGATCGCGACGATGATGATGTTGTGGCACGGCCACGACCAATGCGACGATGATGCTGATGACGTGGCACGATGGCGATGGTCTCGATGATGACGATGATGACGTGACAACGACGATCTCGACGATGACGATGATGACATGGCACGTGACGATGGCGACGATGAAGCCGGGTGGGTCGGGCGGGTTCGAACCAATCCGATACCGGTGTGACGGGGCTGAGGCAACGAGGCTGGGAGAGTGAGGGAGAGAGTGAGAGCACACACACACACTCACTCAACTCGACCCAGACTCGACACGACTCGACGGACACAGACACGAAGTGGCAAAGTCGCAAAGTCGAAGTCTTGGATTTCCGAACACAATGTCGAAGCAAGTCACCGAAGCACAAGTACAGCAGCAGAAAACTGGTACGAGACTGGTCCCCGTACCGTACGGGGAGCCGGTATAAGTACCGGTGACACGTACGGTACCAGGGGCATTTCTGCAAAGGCCCCGAGGGCAGAACTGAAAAATGCGGTATTTGAAAGTGGCGCCCGAATTGCAGCATGGCTCCAGTTCTCCAAAATCCTACGGTACCAAAGGGGGGGTTTGGAAAAAGGGTGCCAGGCCGAAAACGGGATGCAGCCGAAACAGCAAAAAGATAGACCAGGGATCGAGCTCTGGCGGAGTCCGCAACAGGTGGGCTTGGCTGAAATAACACCCACCGAAGGAGAAGCAGTCCCTTCAAAGCCTCCCCTGTGCAAGAGAGAGGCAAAAGCAATCATGACCGTATCGGACTAGAAGCATGACTTGCATACATTCAACATCAGGGTGCGCTGTGTTTGGGGAAGACAGTAGGATGAAACAATACCCAGATTGATTGACCGTTTTACTCACCTTCAACGCCTCATTCAGCATAACTTGGACGAAGCCAGGTGCCTCCCTATGAAGTAGTGGCTTTGTTGCCTCGGGCGTCACATCCCGTGGAGAGAAGCCGGTTCCACCTTTTCCACATATAGAACAATCCAGGACACCACACACAGAAAGCACCATAAATCAGACAAACGCACTCATAATTTATAGAGCCCAATCTACCACCTTCACCACAACAGAACACCCCGTCATTACCGCTCCATCTGGCCTGGAAGTTGCCCCAAACAGAGCTATAGTGAATGGGTGTTCTGTTCTGGTGAAAAAAAAAAAAAAAAAAAAAAAAAAAAAAAGACAGCAGTGAAAAAAGAAATCTGAAACTGCAAGATGCAAATCAGGGTGCAAAACATGGTTTGGAATCGCCGAACACCATTTATCTCCAAATGAGATTCCTCTTCCTTTCCTATGCAACCCGCCTGCTTCTGAGTTCCCGGACCCTTTCCCCCCTCATCCATCATAATAACTCATTGGGCGAATTGTCATAGTATGGGCATGGTTGGTAGGAAAGGAGGAATCCGCGCAGGTCTGGGCATGGTGCAATGAACCCAGATCGTGAATACAATGTCAACAGTGCAAGTCCAAAATGTCGAACAGCTGATGATAGTCAATAACCAAAATCGTAGCCAGATACCCAACAGATGAGAAGACATACACGGACGAAGGAGGTGAGAGGGAGAAGAGATTGAGACAAGAGGGAGATAGACAGTGCCCACTTCTCCAGGGGCTTCTTCCTCCAGCACCTCCGCAGAAATCAATGATCTGAATGAGTATCTGTAGTATCCTCCAAAGTGCCACGTGGCACATCCAATCAGTTCCACATCAGCAATGAAGCAATGTCGACATGAAGACTCCAGGAAGTATCACGATCTCTCCACAGTCCTGATCACCTCCTGAATGACGATCTGTAGAACAGCATTACACATCTGTAGCCTCGCCACCTGATTAGTGGCCACAGCCACCTCAGCCAATCACACACGTGGCAGCGGCCACCTCAGCAACTGTACGTGGCAGCTGCCACGTCAGCATACCATGAAGACAGGCGCAAGCCAGCCACCATGCCGGACAAGCAGCGCGTTGCCAAGATCACAATGCCGGCATAGCCAGCGTCCAACCAGCGTCGCAGCATCGAGCCAGCGTAGCAGTCAACGCGTGGAGTCAGCCTCAACGCAAGACAGAATGAATCCAAAGCCAGGAAGTCAACTCTTATGTAGTGTTGACGTGGGGTCTGGACCCGGGATGCTGTATCCCTCGGCCGTCCAGATCTCAATGCGAATGAGGGCTCAGATCGGCCTGAAACCGAATTCCCTCCGGCCTGGATCCTGTCTGGGTACCTGCRCACAACAAGTGAGTGTATCCAACCCAGGGCCTGGGTGCGGTACCTTTGACTCTRCAGTTGACTTTGACTCTTGAATTTCCTGTGTGCAGCGTTCGGTCACACAGCCACACTCGACAGACTCARGCCTGGGCGTGTCTTGGTCACACAGCCCAGCGCAGACCAACTCAGGTCTGCGTTTCCTGGGGCTGAGTTCTGAGCCCCAGGCTACTTCTGAACAGGGTTACTGCATTCCTGCCGACCCATTTTCGAGTTCCACCGCAGAAATATTTAAGACCTTGACCCTCGTTCATAAGCAGCAACAATATCGGGAGCAGTTTCAAGTAGTTCTCTTTTGTCGAACCATCTGTACTCAGATGGTGCCTGGGACTTGAAACGTACCTTGAACTGCTTCTGAGGTCGTCCACGTGATCCCGTAGAGAAATATCCATGCTCTATGATTTTTTTGACTTCATATCTGCCGTCCATAGATGGCGGAATCATAGAGGGTCTGTTAGGAAATTCTTTTCCTTCTACATTGGGCATCAGTTTTGACGCATGAAAGACAAGATATGTTTTGAGATGAAGGGGAATATCAATGCGATAAGACGGTCCCTCTGCATCTCCAATTACTTTGAGAACTTCCCAGTGTCCAAAGTAGACAGGAAGGAGTTTCTGAGACACATTTTCTTCTAAGGAAAACTCTTTGGACTTTACCCAGACGAGGTCACCTTCCTTAAAGGTAGATGATCGAAGATGTTTATTCGCTTGTTCGATCATCTGGTCCCGAGCTTTCTTTAAATTATCTTTTACCTTCTTTATGTCTTCTTGAAACAAGACCGCATATTCTCGTGTCCCTGGAGGAACCTAAGGAACTGGTCCCGCATTAGAACATCAATGGGACGCCTAGGTTTCCATCACTTGTGCAGTGCATTTGGTGTACGACCTGTAGCCGTGTGAATGCTGTTGTTATATGCATTAGCTATTTTGGGTAAGTTCTCATCCCAATCAATCTGATCGGGTCTCACATACATGCGCAAGAGTTGTTGGCACAATCGGTTCATCTGCTCACTTTGTCCATTCGTTTCAGGATGTCGTCCTGACGACATAGTCAAACGTGTACCGTATGCTTCCATCAGCTTTTGTCATGGCATACTTGTGAATTTGGCATAGCGATCAGACACAATGGTTAGGGGAAACCCATACTCAGTCACCCATCGCATCCGAAACTTTTGGATCACAAGTTCAATTCGAGCTTCAGCAGGTAAGGGAATAAACATGGCATATTTAGAGAAACGATCCACAACAACCATTACTTATCTTGTCGTTACGACTCTTGGTGAGGCTTATAAAATCAATGGAGATGGACTCACCTGGTTCACTCGGAATTGGTAATGGTTTCAGGAGACCAAGTGGATTTTCGTGTGAAGGTTTGTTTCTCTGGCACACCAGACAGGTACGCACGTAAGTTAGTACGTCTTCCTTTAGCCCCTTCCATTCGAAACGTTCTCTGACTTCAGCATATGTTTTCTTAAAACCAAAATGTCCTTCAGTGTTATGACATTTCCCAATTACTAGACTTTTAATTTCTTCTTTGTGAGAAATACACAATCGTTGCTCAGTTTGGTCAATTAAGAATAACAATCCGTCAACCACTCGATAGTTGGGTAATTGGGAGGGTTCTCGTGCAAGGATATCCATAATTGGTTTCCAAATGGGGTCAGTAGCATACCCTTGGCGAATTCGATCTTTCAAATCTTTCCCAATATTCAAATAAGAGACAATTGTGCCAAAGAAGTCACTGCGTCGGGACAAAGCATTTGCAACTATATTAGACTTTCCTTTGATAGTTTTAAGTTCAAAATCAAAGGTGTGAATGAAGGCAGACCATCTTACTAATTTGTCAGAGAGTCTAGACTGTGTCTTTATCCACTGTAGCGTCGAGTGGTCCAACGCACATACTAAGGCATAGAGTTCTCATTCATAAGTGGAGTTGGCAACCTTCTCTGACGGCAGTCGCGCAGACATAAACTCTATGGGCCTATAGCCCTTGCCGTCATCTTGTTGTAGAACAACGTCAATCCCATACTGACTTGCGTCAGTAATAACAATGAAAGACAAAGATGGGTCAACAATCTTAAGGACAGGATAATGAGTTAGCGCATACTTCAATTCTCGAAAAGACGACTCAGTCCTTATCCCACAACCAAATTGTTCCTTTCTTTAACAATCTCCTCATTGGTGCAACAATCAGTGAGTTCCTAACAAACTTCCTATAATAACTAGCTAGACCAAGAAAAGATCGCAATTCAGTTATAGACTTAGGTTGTGGTCAATCTCTGATTGTTGAAATCTTCTCTTTCTTCTGGCCTTAGACCTTCTTCGTTCACTATGTGTCCTAAGTATAACACTTCGGACGTAGCAAACTCAGACTTCTTCGAGTTGATCTTGAAGTTGCCCTCTCGCAACTTCTCAAGCACCAGACGAAGGTGCTTCTCATAATCTTCTAGTGTTTTACTGTACACTAGAATATCATCGAGATAGACGACGACGAACTTATCTAACCACTGACGAAAGAGTTCATTCATAGACCTTTGAAAGGTCGCGAGGGCATTGGTCAGTCTGAAAGGCATCACCTTGCGTCGTGGCATAACGCGGTCACCCTTTTAAGGCCCCGTCAAACCCTGAATCGTGCAGCTTATCAGCCTCATGTCATTATTTTAGGTAAGATAGGTCTAACTGAAACGTTCCCACTACTGTGCGCTTTCGCGGCCCTATTAGGAGCCGCTTTTGACCGGTCGCACTACCGATTATTGCCATTATGTCCCGATTTTTTTTTTAGTTTTCTCGGTCATAGACAAGTCTGAACAAACTTTTGGCAGACGTCAATCTCGTCAAGTCTCTCAATTCATCGAAAAAGTCGGACAACGTCCGACATTGAAAAACCTGATTAGATACCCTTGTAAGGGTTTCTGCTCCGACGCCGGTCTCACCCCTCTCGTGTCATTCCAAGGTCCAAATTCTCAGAAAACTCATATTTGTGAAAACTCAGGATTTGCAAAATACTCCGATATGTAGAAACTCAGATTTGCGAAAAACTATGATTTTGCATATTTGCAGATGTTTCTATCCCTCGAGGGACGAAAAACTCAGATTTCCGTTTGCTGCCCTAAACGACATCAACTGGGTCTGTAACTTTGTAGACCATGTGTACATACCTAACAGATGACCCTCCAAAGTTAGGGTCGCATTCCGCCACCGTTTGCCCCTACTTGCCCATTTTGAGCTTCGCCTGTAGTTCTATTAGTAAACAAAAAGTGTGACGAAGTCCATTTTTCATTTTTGCCAGAAAATTGACTCAGGCGAACATGAGACTTTGTAGACAATCTACCAATGCCTAGGATATAGTGCCTGCTAAGTTCCATCACCCATCTCTTTTTTTGGCGGGGGTTGGTTTTTGACCCCCCGCATTCGCGCCGAATAATAGAGAATTCCGGACCGGCCTTTGGTCGGGGTCCGACGACGGTTCTAATAGCACCAACGGTTAAGTACTTAGTTCACTAACAACAGCAGCATCAACAACAACAGCCCCCCCTGACTATTCTTTCTTTCGGTGGTTCCGTTGACACTTTGCTAGGATTGGTTCGTTATGCAAGACAAAGGGAATCATGTGGTACATTCGGATGGCAAGGCCCTATCCTGCGTAGCACGGCGAACGTGTTCACACCCCTCCATGTTCGCGCGAACAGGTCGCGAACATAT